AGCATCTTCATCTTCGGGGTCTCCAGAGAATCTGAATCCTGGGCTGAGGTGGAGACTGGAACTGGAGCCAGGAGATGCTGATTAGCTGCTCTGGAAACCCCCTCAGGCAGTGGGAGTGAGAACTGGGGAGGAGGAAGGAATATCCAGTCTGGGGCGACTGGACGCTGTAGAGGGAGAATTGAAACTGAGGGGCATGAATGAGTCCTTCCTCTCCCCAGACACTGCCCTGAGAACCGCACCCCCGGACTTGGGACTTGGGACTTGGCCCTGCCCTCTCCTCTCCTAAGCAAACACCTTTAGCACAGACTGCCAGAGCCCAGCCTGGGACTGAGTCAGAGATTCTCAAGCAATTTCCTGTCAGGGTCCATGTACAGTCTCACAAACTAGCCAGAACCCCAGGCCTGATTTTCTTCATAAGGTGATAGCTATCAATACTTACCACACTGGAAATGAGCCATTTTAAAAAGATGCTGCTATTTCATTTAGAATAACATTAATAAGCCAATGCATATTAACAGGAAGTGTTCTTAAGAAAAATAATTTATTGAAAATAATCATGGCAATGAGAATTGTGGATCCTTTACATTTTATATATGTTTTAAAGTTTTATTTTTATTTATGCATAGAACCACTGGGGTGTAAGCGTGCCGGGGTGAGAGGTGCGGAGACCAGCTCCAGCAATTGGGTTGACAGAAGTTCCTGCAGGAAATGATGGTGTTGGTGAAGGTGAATGAGGGACACAAACATTCGTTCAGATGCAGGAATCCTGTGATCCCAGTCTTAGCAGGTCTTTTTTATGTTTAAGTTCGCAAACAGTGTGATTACATCAGCATATGCATTGACTAAAAAAAAAAAAATGACAACTATTATTTCTAAGAAAAGTTTGAAGTCTTTTGATCTTTAGCCAAGTCTATAACACTTATCATTTTTGAAGGAAAACACTGCTAGCAAGCAAAATGTTAGTATGATTATTATTTTCTACAGCTGAGCAAACAATTTACTAATGATAAAGCAGGCAGATGAATTCATATAACTAACATTTCTATTTATATTAAAATAAAAGGTTAGCAAAACAAAAGGAATGCTTCTTTTCTCTCTAGTTACTAAGGATCCTTATTTTCATTAAAGCATGCTAAAAAAAATTAAAACCAGGCCAGGGTAAGGAATGAAAAACTTTACTGTACTCAGTTTTAAAATTAAGAGAGATCGGAGAGTTGAAGGCCGAACAACAAAGGCTTAAGGTTTTTGGTTCCCCGAAGTTTTCTCCTCCGTAGCTTAATTAAATGTACATATCTGGAAGATAGTGGAATGAGGGAGTTTGAATTGTTGCTTTGGACAGGAACATGTTATCACAATATGTTTTTAGCACTGTCTAATTTTGCTGTATTAACTTTACAGTAATAGCCAATTGCTTTTATTAAAACAGCCAAATGTAAAATCAATTTTTACTTTATCAAATGCACCCAAATGCAAAAATGGTTGCAAAT